CCCCAAAACCCCAAAACCCCAAAACCCCTTATATGAAAGTGATAATTGAAAACTTTGAAGTAATTAACATTTTCCTTAACATCCTCAGTTGGAATTTGAAAAGGCCTAAAAGAAGTCTTAAGCGTCTCTCTAGGTGCTTCAGAGACCTTCTTCTGAGACTCTTGGTCAAATTCAAAATTGAAGAGATCGGTCAACGGCGGATTCTTGACTGAAGCAGGGCGGTAAACTAACTGCAGGGACTTTAGCATCACTGAAGACTCATAGAGACTATCAAAGCAGTTTTGGCCTAAGAGACGCTCGTCTGAAGTCAAAGCGACATGAATAGTCGTCTTTATAGCATTGAGATTGTCCTTGTTGTCGATAAATCCTCAGAACATGTTCTTAAACCGGATTAAGGTACTGTGGATTTGCCACCATGGGAATGGCTTTTGGTATCAGAGAATCGGGTCAAGAGAATTTTGGTACTGTGTGTCGTATTCTTGCTCAAGTTTAATGATGTTGCTAATTATTTGATTGTCGAGATACTCGCCCTTTCCGGGGAAGAAGAGAGATGCTGTTCAATGATAGTTCTCCTTGGATCTTTCTGATTCTTTGAATAGCTCAAATCATTTCTGATCAAGGAATTCATGTCTTACGTACATGCATACATCAGAGAGGAACTTGTTCTTAAAATTCAATGCTAATCTTTTGAGGCCTTTCTTATCAATTGAGCTTTCACTAAAAGTGTCGATGATTTCATCTATCTTCTCAACATCTCCCCATAGCAAGAGGGATTTCATAAGTAGGGCGAGGACTGGGATGTCTTCTCTAAGTATTTCTTCTTCACTTCACAAAAGAGAGTCAGCTATTAACTGCCAGATTGACTTGGATACATCATATAAGCAACTATTTGCTTGAATTCGTTTATCGACTAGCTCGATAGGAGTGCACTCCTCCATGATAATCTTGGTCGGCTTGAAGGTATTCGGAAACTGTTCCTCCATAAATCTCAGCATGGCATGAAAAGTATCATTGACAATAAGTCCTTCAACATATCAGAAGATGGCTGGAGTGAAATTTGAGATATTTTTGTCAAATATCAGTAAGGTCATCAAGTAGCTTTGCTCCTCATCTTCTGTGGCTGAGGAAATCCTTGTAGTTCAGAATCAGAATATTTGGGAATGCTCAGTGTTATCCATCAACACCTTAATCATCCGTTCTGATAAGAAGTAAGTAAGCTTTACGTTAACAGATCCTTCTTCAGTTGTGATAGTGATCTCTTCATGCTTTCTACCAAATTTCTCTCCTGAAGACGTCAAAATGAGTTCAGGAGTTTTAAATCCCTGATTGATTATCTGCTCCTTCTCCATTTCTTCCTTATTTTTCTGGTAAAGTTCTTGATTATCAGAGAAAGGTGTTGAAGCAGTGTCAAAGTCATACTCATTGACATCTTTGTCATTCCTAAATTCTATGTCAAATTGTCCATCCTGATCAGTATCAAGTTTGGTAGCCTCTTCGCCTTCCCTAAGAAAGATGAATGGATCCTTAACGCAGATGGTTTGCACCACCTCCTTCTCGATCTTTGGAGCTTCTTCAGGCTTCGGATCGGGCTTAAGATAGAGTGGATTAGTTACAGTAGGACTTAATTGATTCATATTGTAAGGCGTCTCCTCTGATTTGTATTTCAACGCTTTTTTATTACGTTTCTTGTTCTTCTTGATTGAGAATGTGTGATAGTTCTGGTATAAATTATGAGCCTTGGACATTCTTTCCTTGATTCTGCCTTTCCTGACATAGATCTTGTACATCCCTCTACACTTGAGTTTCTTATAGTCAGCTCACCGATAAACATATCAATCTTTGTCTCCTTCAATTTTCTCTTTCAATTTATACTTAAACCCCTTCCTAACTAATCTCTTAGGAATATGTCCAGGTGAAATAATACTCTCTTCATAGTTCCTGCCCAAGTCCATGACTGGGACCAAGGACCCTTCTTCAGAAGTAGTCTTGACCAGTGTCTTCCACTTGTCAATCTCTGCTTCGAAGGGATCGTGTGTCTGAGTAGACATTTTTCAATTGGTTTAAAAAGTAGTGGGGTTTTGGGGTTTTGGGGTTTTGGGG